CAAACTCCGAGGGGTAATAACATGATTATGGAAATAGGATGAATAATTCTAATGATTATGAATAGTAAATACCGAAGTTTCTTGTTGAAGATACCATAAGTCTGAAAATATTATAAATGTACAGGATGAATTTATATTGAATCTATAGATTAGCAGAAATGGCTTCGGAATCCTTAAATGATACCAATATACATAGTGTTTTATTCAACAAGGATAAAACAATAACGGTGAAAAAATTCACTCGATGAATTCTAGCTAACTCAAAAATTTTATAATAGTAAATATTTAAATTTTTACGGAGAATCACTAAACTAGGAGATTGAAAATCTTACTAAAATGAAATCTATCATGTAGCTAAAATGTAGGGAAAAGATAGCGACCAGTAAAGAAATACCCTGGTACTCAAAGTCCCCGTTGATTAGAATAGCCCAATATCAATTGATAATAAAAATTATCAAGCAATTGTTGGTTATATTTGTTATTACCTGTTGTTTTACCTCTTATTCTGCTTTAAAATTAAGAAATGTACAAATTCATTCCTAATAAATAGGTTAACCCTTCTGACAATCAATTTTTACTGGCGATACAATTAATATGAATTTATGTCCATCATTGTGTATTGTCATATAGCAATACAAATGCATTTTGTGTGCTTGTGATAGAAAATATCTGTCAAATAACAACAAATGATTGATGACCTAATAGGCGTATCAGTTAGTAAAATGAAAAAATCGCGCGCATTACAGCCTCGTTAACATCTTCTCATGGAGTATTTATCTTTTGCCAAATCGCTGGCAATTACCGCTGGCGAAGTATGTATCTAGCATTTTAATTTAATTTAAATACATTTTAGTTCCTTAAAAAGGGATTTGAACAATCGGTCTCTGGAGATGTGAAGGATTCATATGCCGATCTTGTAACAGAATATGATAAAATGATAGAGAATTACTTAAAATCAGAAATATTCAAAAAGTACCCGGATCATGTGTATGTAGCCTCTTTTACACGTTTTTGTAGTATAATAGCTGAAGAAAGTTCTTCAGAAAATGAAGCATTTAAGGATACTCCCACATGGTTTATAGATCCAATTGATGGAACTGCTAACTTTGTACAAGGGTTTGTTTTAAAATTAAACTTTATCCTTTCAAGATTTCCTTTCTGTTGTATATCAATTGGGCTGTATATAAATCGCGATGTAAGAACAATTCTATTATGATCTTTAGCCCGTTGCAGCAGTCGTATACAATCCAATTACTTCTCATCTTTATCATGCTGTTAAATCTTTGGGGGCATTTCTAAATGACAAAAAAATTTGCGTATCTGGACGGAAAGGTCATTACATAAGTCATATCCCTTTATTATTCTAAATCATACTTCTATACTTAATTGATACATTTACCTTTCTCTTACTCTTTTCCTAACTAATTATATTTTATCTAAATATGCTAGCTCATATGCACCCATTGGATATCTGGATTTTAATTTTATACTCTATTCAAGCTAGCCCTTTCTTCATTTTTTATTTTATTCTTGTAGTATCGTGTTTATACTGCCCTGCATTATTGTTCTCTAGGGTTCCCTATCTTTATTATAAAAAATGATGCTTAACTAATAGTTCTATTTATATTTTAGAGCTTAAGAATTCCCTTGT